GGACATATCTGAACTAAAATAGCACTGCAAACAAATGTACTCAAGATTTCAGTTTACCATTTAATTAATCAACTGATCCAAATTTTAATAAAAATAAATTTTGTTTCTAATCAAAACTACATTAATAATTTAGTTGTAGTAATCTCTATTTTTTTAGAAAAGAATCAATAGCTCAAATGGCTCATAATATTATATTTATTATTTGTTATTTAGAAAAACAAAACAAAAAACCAGGACGTGCGTAACCAAAGATAATAACCAACAAATCGGAAACCGCATCGGACACAGAAAAAGGAAAAGAAAATCGGGAGCGTACATGGTCGCATGCAAAACAGAAACGGAGCAACCAGAAACTCCATCGGACACGGGAAAAAACAGACACAGAAAAAAGGAAAAAACCGGAAGTAGACATGGAAAATAGGAAAAGGAGCAAATAGAAAATGATCAGAGGAAAACAGAGTTGGAATCGTGTACCCCGATAAAAAACGACCACAGAATAAAAAACGAAAAAAAAAGAGATAAAAACTACCGTGGTTTAATATTAGGAACAAATTTCTGTGGTTTAATATTAGAGTATAATAATAATAATTTCTCTCAATGTCTTTTTCTATTTGTGTTTGGATTTGGATTCCCATTCAGACTATTAAAAATAAGAGAAATCTTGATTAGGAATCCTACGTGGTCTCACAGACTAAAATAGCACAACAGACGCGCTCCTTTTTGAACTCGTTGACACTAATTAACCATGTATCAGGACAAACATATGAGCACGGTTTATGAATCCGGGTCACATACACGATTCAATGTGTTTTGCAGTCAGACTTCGTATCACGCTAGACAAGAGCTATTCTAAACGGGTTATATATATATATAATCCGGATAGATGAAACTCCCCATTGTCCGATAGCTAAGGGAGATGGACAAAAAAAAATGGCTAGAAATTTTGCCTCTTTATTATTATGGACTAAATTATGGACTAGATATATACCCGTGCGTTGCACCGAGATCATGAGTTTTTTACTAAACCTCAGTATTTGGACGCAGACGCGTAAGCTCTGAGGATTTTGTATTGGTCGCGAACGCGTGGGGTCCGGTCTTGGTACTGAAATTAGATAGGACGCGTGAGCGGTAATCGAGATTTGATATCATCGGGTAGTTTCGTATTGGGTTGATTTGGTATAATAACGGATATGTAGGTTGTGTTTGGAACTACTCTACGAACTCTGCCCACAAATTAAACCGTGGAGTAGCTCCATAAAAACCTAGAGTTTATGAAGCACCCATTTAGTTGCTCTCATAATTCTATTTTTTTCTCAAGCAGAGTGTGTGAAGCTTAAGAGGTGTTTGGGACAGCTCCACTCCACACTTTTTAGTCAAATGGTTTCAGCTTCATGCAGTTCGAAAAAAAATGGTAGCGTTGTGAGAGTACATAAAGAGATGCTCCATAAACTCTAGTTTTTATGAGGCTGCTTCGCAATGGAGTTTATGTACCCGACACCTGTTTAGCTTAAAAAAACTTAAAGCAGAGCTGAAAACGTGGAGTGACATTAATATCCTATCAGACTGGCAGACCTCAGAGTTTGGACACGCACAAGAAGGGATTTGTCGTTGCAGGACCCAAAAATCGAATGGCCCCTCTGTAGGCATGCTACTGTCTATCGGCCTGTTCGATGGGCTAATTTGAATTGGCTGGTGCTGGTTTATTGTGAGAGAAAAATACTGTTGGCTGACTGGTTTGGACTGACTGAAACCAACAAGCTAACAGGGAATATATAATTCTTATAATTGCTAATAATAGCCTGGCCAAACAACACAACACACAAGATGTATACTACTATATTTTTTTTATCACACACTACTATATAAGCGCGTGTTCAGTTCCAAAAATACTTTTAAAAAAGTGCTACAGTACCCGTCACATCGAATCTTGCGATACGTGCATGGAGCAGTAAATGTAGACGAAAAAAAACTAATTGCACAGTTTGGTTGAAAATCGCAAGACGAACGTTTTAAGCCTAATTAATCCATGATTGAACACTATTTACCAAATAAAAACGAAAGTACTACAGCACCCAAATTCCAACTTTCCCTCCAACTAAACATGGCCTAATTTTTATAACTGCTATAATAATAGCCTGGCCGGCTGGCCCAAAACGCAACACACCTGACGTTATGTGATTGTGTCTTTCGCCGTTCGGTCTTCCGCACGACCGCAATGAGGCACCGAAGCACACCGCGTGAATTGAATTGTGATCGGTCTGATCCGTCGTCTTCGGTGAATCCGAGGCCGAGCCAGCCACGTAAATCCAGAGGCCGGGCGCGTACACGAAGGATCTTCGACGAAAGAGGTTCATATTTTTTAGGTGTAGAGTAAGAAGATAGATTAAAATAGAATCTGTTTAGGTAATAACGGGTTGTTTTAGCCACTTTCAATAATCAGATATTTTCCACGTACTTACACTGTCTTATATCTATTGCTCTGTTCGCTTGGCTGATAAGTCATGGTTGAAAGTACTGTTGACTGATTTGTTGTGAGAGAAAAATACTGTTCGTTGGCTGAAAAAGTACGGCTTATAAGCTAAGCGAACAGGGCGTATATTTACACCATCTTATTACTATATTTACAATGATTTCTTCAGTGTAATTTATTGAACACAACGATATAATTTAGGGATAACACAACTTTTATTTGTATAGATTGCAGATCTCAGAAAATATATGCCATTTAAAAAAAAATCAAATTATTTTTATGAATTGCAGATACCAGAGAATATATGTCAAATTATTCACAAATTGTTCACAAATTTGAGATCAAATTATAAATTACTCACAAATGGTGGGACCCACCCTGGAACCTTATCCCTTACTTGGCCTGTATGGGCCTTCGTGGGCTAAATATCTAGCCAGGCCTGTAGGCAACGGCCGTGGGGCAGTACGTGGCCGAGAGAGCGTGCAGGAAGCCGCGCTAAGGTTCCGCGAAAGCCGCGCCATCGAACAGGAAAGTCCCGGTGCGGCGGCGGCGGAGGACAAAAAAAAAACGGTTGTTTGCTTAAGGCAAAACAACCGGTTATCAATTAGCAATTCTGTTAAAATATGGCCGTGTTTGTTTGCACTTATAATAAAACAAAAAGACGTGAATCCCACCAAAGATCTGTATTACAAACTCGAATTATCAAAATCAAGAATAGTAGTGATTATAAACATAAATAAACGAACAGGATCTACAGTAGTCGGTAGCTAAACCCCTTTCCATCAATTCTATATCTATATTTATAACCCTCCTTAGCTAACTTGTGAATGCGGAAACCGCATATAGCCCTTCTCTTTATATAACAGTTCAAGACTGCTTAAGATAATTTGGATAGCTACAAATCATAATCCAATTAGATCTCTCTGATTCTGGGTAACATGAAAAGGAATCTTAATCCAAATAGAAAAAAATAAGAATATGGACAGCTAAGAATCTTAATCCAATTAGATCTCTCCGATTCCGAGTAATAGAAATCTAATAAAGAGGAAAGAATGGTAGAATTTCTCTGTTTGGTTCCTTTTTTTGTTCTTTTTTCACTATTTTTATGGTTTGTCCGTTTTTACTTGCTCTGAGCATATTTTGCTTTACGTTCTCGTTTGGACGTTTTTCACTTGACTTTGAATATGTTCTGATTTTTTTCCATGGCTATTTTCTAGAGTACATTCCTATTTTGGTCGTAACCATTTTCTACTTGGCTTCAAGTATGTTCAGATTTTTCTTCTCGTGGTTGTTTTTGGACACCAGCTCGCCTTTTCTGAATTTGTTTTCATGGTTTTCTCCACCTGGTTTTTTTGTGTTCTAATAAATATAATAAGAGTAAAAAACAAACAATAGATAAGAGACCACAACCATTTTCATCTTTAACTCCTTATTATAAGAAATAAAGATTTTTACCACTAAATTAATTTAATTTTTGACTCAAACTCATGATACATGCTACCACTCACTCATGTCCAACAATGATATAATATCTTATTCCAACACGTTTTGAATCATGTTGCAACGTACGAGCACGTTTGTTAGTCGAAGACAAAAGCCCACCGGCTCGTCGATTTTTGCCGTGAATCCGTGGTCTCCAATAAAACCGGCTTTTCACTCTTCAGCGACGAAATATACCTGTTCAGAAACCAGAAGGCTTCTTGTTGGGATGTTCCCTGGCTCCGTGAGCCTGCCTCTGCAACTTGAGACGGCGTACAATTGCCGCATATCCGCGTGAGAAATGCGCATCTGTGAAACTGACCCAGAAGGGTGAGTGCGCCCTGCGCCGCGTGTACGCTCGCGCGGAGTCGCTGCTGGAGCCTCTCCACAACCACTCCACTTTGAGTGACTGCTTTGTTTCATTGTTTGTCGTCGGGCATGGATCAGTGAGAGCAACTCTTTTTTCTTTTTTTTTTTCTTTTTGAGGTGCAGAGCAACCTTCCTGTATCGGTGGATGAACCTGCCGCCGGAGACCGGATTAGCGTCCAGGTCCATCATCTACAGGCACGAGCGCTCCCAGCCTCCCAAAATATCCAGACGAAAGATCCACGCCAAGGCATGTTTTCGAAAAAAAGAAATCCAGACGAAAGATCCACACCAAGCCGTGGACGGTGTCGAGTGTTCCCTGTTCGGCTGATCACATTTTTGTTTGATCCAGCTTATTTTCTCTCACATAATACTATTATCTCAGCCGATTAGCCACAGCTGGATCAGCCGAACAGACAAGAAGAGTCAACCATACAGATACAGAGCAGAACTCAAAATACACAAAAAAAAGGACACCACAGACGTGAAGCGTCCAAGATTGGTTTGGTTGCTCGCTCATCAGATTACAGATTCCTCATCTCTCTGTAGTCTTTACACACAAAAATCCTAATCCACAGCTGGCCTTGAGACACAGGATCCGCCGGCGGGTGGGTGGGTAAAAGGTTGGAGCGGTTGGTAAGAGCAGGCAGAAATCAGTCGTCGGCTCGGCTGGGCGGCCGGCCGGTCAGTGCGCGGCGGCGGGCGCGGTGCAGCGGCGCTGGCAGAAGTTAGGGACGCGGTCCATGCACTGGTACACCGGCGGGTCGGCGCTGAGGCTGGACTTGACGCAGTCCCTGCACGCCGGGTGGCACCCGCGGGGGACGGCGTCCAGGCACTGGCACCGCGGCGGCTCCGACTTGGTGCACCCGCCGCAGCTGTCGCAGCACGGCCACGCTCGCGCCGCCGCCTTGCCCCGGCTCGCAAGCTCCCCTCCTCCTCCTCCTCCTCCTCCTCCTCCTGCTCCCTGCCCTGAAACCAGAGATCGATTCGGAACGCGTGAGCCAGACTGAACAACAAGGAAAACAAAAAAGAGCAAATCTTGAGCTTTCCTACCGAAACCAGTGGGGAAAAACCCAAAAAAATCTTGGATTCACTGGTCGGAAAACCTCAAATAAGAGGGGACTTTTTGGCAAGAGCAGAGAAGGAATCGGGCCGCCTACCTCTGCTTTGAACATGGGAGTGGTGGTGGTGGTGCCTGTTGCTGGACTGCGCGAGCACGGCGAGAAGGGCGAATGTGAGGAAGAACAGCGCTTGGGTTCTCATGTCTGATTGCTTCTCTCTGCGAGAATTGGTTGCTTGTCTATCTGTACGCGGCTAATAGAAGCCTTCTTTATAGAAACCGTCCCGTTCCCGTCCGGACAGCGGACAGAGGCAAGGGGACAAGGGCCCCACGCGCCCCTGGGTCGCCGCCCCCTGATAAGCGAGCAAGTGGTGGCAGATAAACAGACAACTTGGAGAAAAAACCCTCTACTACGATTGTTATGCATATGTTTATTTGAATTTTAATTTTGGGTTAGCTGGTCTAGCAAGGAGTAACTTACGCTTTATCAGTATAATCGGCTGCCCCTAATTGCATCAGCCACCGCCAAGTACTTAGTAGCTACAGTGCTAGAGAGAGAATTAAATGTCACCACAGCCACAGCCACAATAAACAAAAAAGATAGCCGAGCACGATTTATAGGGCCGTTCGCTTTGCTGGAAAAAGAAGCAAAAATAGTGTTCCGGTTGATTTATTATGAGAGAAAATACTGTTCTGGCTGGAAAAAGAAGAAAAAAAACCGGATTATAAAAGAAGCGAACAGAGCCTATGTTTGTTTCTTGTTCACCATTATTCTCCTCTCCCATGGTGTTTTTCTTTCCCGTCTTTTTCACAATTGCTTGTCTTTCAACAGTGCTGCAACCATAAGTCATACGATCCGTGACCACCGAGCGTTGCACCGCTAACCTAGTGACACGAGGCTATTACTTTGGGTCTCGTTTTATCAACGGTTTATCCTAGCGCCCGGACGTCCGGCGCGCAAGATGCGTTCGGACGCCGTTTCCCTTCCCAAACCCTCCGTCCCCGCAGAATCAGATCGGAATAGAACGGAATAAAATTGCATCCACTGTGCCCTGTCCTTCGTTCCCCACTGCGCCCCTTACGCACCCTGTTCCCCACCGCTCCCCTGTCCCAAAAACACGAAACACTTCAAGTACAATATCGCAAAAATATGTAAACTGTGTAGTGCAACATCAGAATATAAATACTGTAACATCGCAAAACTATGTACTGCAACATCAAAAATTATGTACTGCAATATCAAAAAATTATGTATTGCAAGATTAAAAAAGTATGTACTGCAACATCTCAAACAGTAGTACCGCAACATCGCAAAATCAACCATGAAATATAGAAAAATGGAAACAACTCAATAATTAACTTTCAATGTTGCGACATTTGAAAAAGGTAATTTCAACAATTAAAATCTCCTATTGCAACAATGACAACATTAGAACTCCCTTTCTGCAACACATAAATCACCCTATTGCAATACTCGAAATCATCTGTTGCAACATCCAAAAAACCCATTGTAACATGGAGAAACAGCAAAAAAGCGTACAAAACAACAAGGGGATGGTTTGAGGTGTAGGTTGCTCCAGCCCCTGGCCTATCACCTTCGAGCTCGCCAGAGGGTGGATGGAAATAGGACCCCAGAGCTCGTCGAAACCCTATCCACCGTCGCGTCCTTCAGATCCAGAGGAGGAGGGCTCAGATCCAAAGGAGGAGGAGGAAGAGGAGGAAGAAGAGGAGGGCTCAGATCTAGAGAAGGACCGACCTACCTCGTCGGAGCCGCCGCCGTCGTCCTCGTCTCTGGTGGGGGGAGCAGGAGCCGGGTCGCTAGGGAGCGCGGGGTAGCAATGGAGGTCGCAGAGGGGGAGGGAGGGAGCGTGGGCGGGCGGGGCGGCAACGAGCTGGCGCGGGCGTGGTGTCTGTCGAGCGCGTCACGACAGTGAGCCGGGGGTAGGGATGAGGGAGCGAGCGGTAGAGTGAGCGCGCGGAGGCGGAGGCGCAGAGTGGGGATGAGGATGAAGGAGACGGAGCGGGAGTGGATGAGGACGAGTCGGTCCGAGTTGTTTGGGTTCGTCCGGACAGAATGGACGCCCGGACAGTATCATTATCGTTTTATTAATATCATCACCAATACCATCTCATCTTTTGACGTACAAGTAAAGATGATATAAGGTGAGTGTGTGTATGTATTGTATTTCGTAAAAAAAAGATAAAGTAAAATTATCTGTCTTGCACCTTGGTTTGGCGAATGTTCGCCCTAATGGGACAACAAAACCATGAAACTCTTTAAAACCTGGGCCTCATTCCATCATTCTGGATTTGTAGATAAAGGAGGTGCCCTTATGTGAGGATAAAAAAAATTGAAACTCGAGGGGGTACGCGCAAAAGAGCCACCAAGATAGGGTGACCGATGATAAGTCCGAGTGTCGTGGCTGTGCACATGTGGAGATGAGTCACCGAAGATAAGATCGAGGGAAATAAGTAAAGCGCCACTTTCATGGGCCGATGCCGACCTGTCCATCCTCCATCCATGTTTGCTGTAGTGGCAATGGCAACACTCATCCCGATCTTCTACGCCGGCGGCCACACGACACTGCCTTGCATCAAACATAATGCACAAATTTACAAGATTAGTATCATTAAGTTAGATACACCATAACATATATTTTTATAATATACTCATTTAGTGTCATAGATATTTACTACTTTTTTATAAATTTAGTCAAACACAAAAATAGTTTAACTTAAGACAATTACGAGAATTAATTTATCTAAGGAGGGAGGGAGTAATCGGCATATATTTATGTTAGCTTGAATTATGTTGTATTAGATGGAGCGCATGTGGTGACTTTGGTTGTGTTTAGTTCGGAAATAGGGTGGCATAAGACAGCCCTGTCTTAGTTTTTAGAGATGGAACAATCCAATCTAATATTTGGTTGGGTGGAATGGGACCGTCTCTATTTTTTGTTTGGTTTAAGACAACAAAAGTGGATTAGACACCTAATGCATGGGTACCACTAGTCGGCCAGAGTTTTATTTTCTCATCCCAACTTTGGTTTCTTCTTCACCACACGGGAGAATCACCAATTGGCGACAACGGATCGGTGTTGCTCTCGCAAGTTGTGGCTCCCTCTTCCCCGCGCTCATGGCTCCCTTTCTTTCTCTCATACGGATCGGCGGTGGCTCCCTCTCCTTCTCCCATTGCGAATAATGCAGCCACATCGCCCCGCGGCTCCCCCTCCCCCATGTGCTCGTGACTCCTGGAGCACCACTAGTTTAGCTCGCACTCATGTTCTTCCTCTCAAGCATGCGTGCAATGTTTGTCCCACCTGGGACGACTCTATCCGCGAGATTTTTAGGGGCGAGTTGAGGCCAGATCCGAAGAAGGGTGTATCCCTAATGAGATCGTCCTGTCTCTAGCTGACTTCGAACCTAGGACCGTTCTATCCATGGAACTAATTACTACCTCTCTCAATCTCGAGACATATCAACTCAATTGTTCGGATGTGAGAGTGGTGTACGTGTGTTCATAGGGTTGAACCTCATTTGGCATGGCTCTAGCTCTAAGATCTAGGCTAAATCCATAGTTAGCGGACTAAATTAAAGTTGTTTAAATGTTTTTATTTAATATAAAAATAAATGAAAAGGGTCATGTAAACGACTTAACATACTTGTAATTTTAGATATTGGATTTTCTAATGGTAAGCGGCTCTAGGAAATCCACGGGTTTTCCAAATGAGGTGGAACTGTGCGTGCGTGCGTGCGTGAGAGGTCCATGCAACGTCAACGTGAACAGGAGGCTACTGAGCTGCGCGCGCAGAAGATCGGGGAACGGGACCGCGGCGACAAGGAAATGTTTGCAACCAAGAGAGAGGATATGGACGGTCACATACTCCCGCATTCCCAATTTCCTTTCCAGCCACAGTGCTCCTTCGTCCTTCCCTTCCTCCACTCGCTTCGCTTCTACAGTACTTTTCTCTTTAACCGAAATCACCACGCAGGACAGAACGCTTACAAGTATACTGCCTCCGTCCGTAAAGGAATACAACTATGGTCGATTCAGATTTGACCAAGTTTTTAGTAAATATTTATATTTATGACTCTAAATTAATTTATTATAAGAATACATCTCGTAATTAATCTAATAATATTTATTTAATATTATAAATATTTATACCTTTTTATCTATAATTGGTCAAAGTTGCTAACATATAATACTGTTTCAGAATTGTATTTTTTTAGATGGAGGGTGTACGTACGTATTTGACTTGACCAGAAGAATGGAGGCAAGAAAAACGTGCTCCTCCGGTCCGCACGATCGTCGGAGGGGGATATTCCCTTTGCCACCATGGCTTTGCCCACCACCGCTTGGCATTATATTAGCAGCCGTAATGCAAAGTTTAAGAAACAAACACCCAGGCGGCATGTGCATGTGGACCACGTTTCGGCTAGGGTTCGTCGCCTCAGCTCAATCAATTTGTTAAATTTAAACCAGTCGTGGTTACGCGGGAACGTATAGATGCGGCGGACCTAAAAAAATTGCTGCTAAAAATTAGATGAGATACAGTTTGGACCGTTAACTAATATATATTTTATTTAGTTCTAAACTATAAGTCGTTATGATTTATATATTCCATTCATCCTAAATTGTAAGTTATTCTAACTTTTTAGAAAGTAAAAGCATCTCAAGTTTGATAACATTTAGGATATCAAATAAATATCACTAGATTCTTATTAATTATATTTCATAGTACGTCTATTTTATATAGGTTCTTATAATTTTTTCTATAATTTTAGTTAAACTTGAGATGCATCGACTCTCTAAGAAAATTATAAATAACTTATAATTTTAAAAGGAAGGAGTACATAGCAAAGTTGAAACGGAAAAATTGGTTGATGTGGCATACTATCTAGCCCTGGGCAAATTTAACCGAGAACCGAAAACCGAACCGAAAGAACCGGAACCGAAACTAAAAAATTCGGTTCCTGATATTGAGGAACCGAAATAACCGAACAAAATTCGGTTCCTACTCTCGGATAACCGAATTAACCGAAAGAACTGAATTATATGAATTACAATTCACTTATTTATATCTTGTAAGATTATATTTAGTTTATGTATAGTGTTTTATATTTGAACTACTATATATTTGTGTTACTATATTGCTATTGATTTCTTATGCATTATTATTATTAAAAATGAATATAGTGT